GACAGTGATACTGAGAGAATCAAAACCAGAGATAACAAGAAGGTGAGCAGCAAGGTGATGAATTTAGTTATCCTGTTCTGTTCCAGACATAAAATTAGTTACTATTGTACTTAAACCTCAACACCATCTCACAGTGTGGACACTGGTGACCAGCCGATGCAAGAGCATGAGTGACATACCCATTTTTCAAGTTCCTCAATATTTTACTACAAGGCTTTTCTTTTTTTCTTTTTTTTGGGGGGGGGGATTTTTGCTGCAAGGCACATGCATTCACCAGAGACACAGAGAGAGACAGAGAGAGAGGAAAAACAAGAAATCTCCTCCCCCAGGGGTATGGCCACACCACAATCCCTTCTCTTCCATTCTCTTCTCAGGATTTTAGGCACAGATGCACACATGCCCAGCATTAGTTATAAGGTGCCAGGTCCAGAACTCCAACTACAGTCAACTATATGGGACTCCAGTGATGCAACCATTACACTATCTACTGGTCCCACTACAAAGTTTTTCAATGCTCCAAAATGAAGAGACAGAGGTAACTATTAAGTATACAAAATTAAAAGGTGCTAAGAAGAGAACTAAAATTAGAGAGACTATTTTCTACCTCATCACCCACTCCATCACCTTGAAAGCATCAAGCTTGCCCTCTGCCTTTGCCTTCAAACTACTATATTACTCAGTTTAAACCAATGTTTAAACATAAACCAGCTCTGCTACATTATTAATATTGCAAACAGCATTTCCAACCACATTATGTTGAGTTATCTCAAAGGGTAGCATTCCCATATGTTTTGAATAGCAAAATCGGCCCCTGAGTAGACCAACCCATTTAGGATATACAAGGGGACCTCAAAAAGATCATGAAAAACAGAATTAAAGTATGAATTTATTTGGGTACCAAAAGTTTTTTTAAATCCATGGCATAGCTTTCCATAATACACATTTTCTATGAACTCTTTAAAAACTCACGTACACAGGGTACCAGCAGTTGGCATAATGGCTATGTCGCTGGATTCCCATGTGGTCGATCTCAGTTTGAGTCACGGACCCGGTGGCTTGAACTCACACCAGGCACATGTGCATGCAAGTCCAAGATCCCGGGAGAAGAATGGAGGAGAAGGGATTGCCATTCCCTCTGGGGGGGGGGGGTGTGATTTCTCTATTTCTGTCTCCCTGTCTCTCTCTGTCTTTCCAGTGAGCACCCGTGCCCTATAGCAAAAACCTCTCAAAAAAAAAAAAAAAAAAAAGAAAGAAAAGAAAAAAAACATCATGTATAGGGAACTAGAACTAGCAGATGGCATAATGGTTACATTACTGGACTCCCATGTGACAACCACAGTTCAAGACCCAGACCCAGAGGCTTGAAACTGACACTAGGTGTGTCTGCATGTGTGCCCAAAATCCTGAAAGTAGAATGGAGAAGGGATTGTGGCATAGCCACCTCCCACCTCCCTGTGAGTAATTTCTTGCTCTCTGTCTCTCTAACAAGGACACATGCCACACAGCAAAAATCTTTCCAAAAAAAAAAGAAAGAAAGAAAGGAAGGAAGAAATGAAGGAAGGAAGGAAGGAAGGAAGGAAACCTCATGTATAGGGGCCAGCAGGTGGTGTGGTGGTTAAGGTGCTAGACTCCCACAAGGCTGAGTGTGGTTCAAGTCCTAAACCTGACAGCTTGCTTTCTCACTTTCTCTCTCTCTCTGGCCAAATTAAGAAATAATAATAATAAATAAAGTTAAATAAATAATTCTTTTGGGAAAAAATTCATGTTATATACTCTCAAGTGTCTAAATGTAATTTGAAATTAATACAACTATTCATAAACTGATAATAATACAGAATAACCACTACTTAGCCCTTAATTCACTTTCCCCCAAATTCAAAAAATTAACTTAAAAGACTTTTAACTTTGATTATGAGAATAACACATTGGCTATTTAAAATCACAGATGTAAAATAAAATGGCACAGACATACTAACAAAATCCTGGTTATCATTTGAGGTTTTTACAAGGTCATGGGAGTTTCTTGACCTTGGGATAGTCAAAACTGTAGGTTACATATAACATATATATAATACTATACTACATATGTATGTATAAATGTACATACATATACATACACGAATGACATTTATGCTTTAATAATATGTAGAGGAAAGTGATAGGGCAAAACAGATCAATCATATTAGCAAGCAGGAGAAAGATTTACACTATGATCTTCCTTGCTTTCCAAAATACTTTATGAAATACACTTTGGAATCAACATTTTTCTCTTCAAATTACAGGGTCTTAAAAATAAGAGGTTGTGGCAATGAGAGTCATTCATTCTGCTTCTGGCATGAACATATTTTTTAAATTTATTTTTATATTTAACTTTATTTATTTTAATTTGACCAGAGAGGGACAGAGCGAGAGTGAGAAAAAGAGAGAGAGAGAGAGAAAGAAAGTGAGGAAGCAAGCTGCCAGGTTTGGGACTAGAACCACAGTCAGCCATGTGGGAATTCAGTGTCTCTAACCACTGCACCATCTGCCAGCTCCAGCAAGAACATATTTTAAAGAATGTATTTTGGTTGTAAAGGCAAAGCAGACAAGGAAGATTAACTGGAGAAATCAAATAAACCTAACAGTCAACACAATTAGTCCTTTCCAAAACCCAGAGTATTCCTAGAGTATGTGTGAATAAGTAAGGCATTCATGTTATGTATCAGCAACGAACACAACATACTGCATGCTCTGAAGGGTTAGAGAAAAAAGTCACTAATTTGAATTTCATTCACTACATTAAAGAGTTATGGGGACCAGCAATTAGCATAATGGCTATGTCGCTGGACTCCCATGTAGTCAACTGTGGTTCGAGTCCTGAACCCGGTGGCTTAAACTCACGCGTGCCCAAGATCCCAAGAGGGAAAAGGAGGAGAAGGGATTTCAGAGTGGTCATCGCCCTAGGGGGGTGATTTCTCGCTTCCTGTCTCTCTGTCTCTCTCTGTCTTTCTGGAGTGCGCACACACCCTATAGCAAAAACTACTCAAAAAAAAAAAGAAAGAAAGAAAGAAAAAAGGGTTATGACAATGCCTTTAGAAATATTTAGCTTTGTGCTAATGATGAACAAAACACAGTACAGAGTTGCCAAATCATAGGTGATAAACACCTTGAGATGGGATATAATGGAAGTAAAAAGATGAACATATTTCTCAAACACAAAGTTATCTTTGATCACAAACTTTTCCTAAGTTCATTATATACAAATTTCTCACAGAAACTCTACGCAATCATGAACAAGCTATGACAAACAATACCTTTTTCAAGTTTTTCAGAATACACATACAAAGAGATGCATATGCTATGAACCATACGCCCCAATTTCCTGAAGCCAATACAGAGCATGTCGACACAAACCCCACATAGGAACCATGTATGACCCAAAATGTCCCCATACTTCTTCCCTTCTCCCTCCCTCTACTCCCAACACTCATACACAAAACAGCAAGTTTAATTTGCTTTCTAAAATTACACAGAACACTTCTAATGGAAAATTACAGTTGCAAGCTTTGACTTTTCAAAGTTTATGAATGAGGGAAGTTATTTCTCCTAACTACATTGTTGGAATTTTTCCACTCTCATTTCCATTCAAAATACAGTGTTTATTCTCCTCCCAACTAACCTGCCCTCCCCTCACACCCTTCTAAGTCACCTTCAGACCTGCTTGAAGTTTTAGTTCCTGAAAGAAAACCGCCTAAAGCTCATTTCTGTCCATTTGGTAATGTTACTTACATTTCACAGTCCCTTACTTACTGTAAAACAATATGTTACACTTAAAATTTACTTTTTAATTTTCTACTTACATGCATGTAATTCTTTTTTTAAGAATTATTTTATTAAACGTTATTTATTTTATTTGACTAGAGAGTGACAGAGACAGAGAGAGAGAGAGTGAGAGAGCAAGCCACCAGGCCTGGGACTCCAACTGTAGTTGACCATGTAGGAGTCCAGCACCCTTAATCACCATGCCACCTGCCCGCCCAACATGTAATTCTTTTTTAAAATTAAATTATTATTAAATACTGTTTCCTTTGTCATTCTTGATTATGTTGTCTTACCCAATGAATAATCTTTAAACTTATTAATAATTTGAATTTTTAAATACTGTGGCATTAATAACTCCTAAATGTCTACAGTAAGGTGGCTGTAGGCAACGATTTTCTAACAAGCAGTTGTTCCTGACTGACATCTACTTGGAAGCCTTTCATCGTTTTTTAATTTTTGCCTCATTTTTAAACGTCAATTTTTTTATCTAGTAAAATAAAATCTAAAAGTCGTGGTTAACCTTCTACAAATAAACATAACCCCAGGAAGAAGAGGCCATCGCCTTTCCTGGGAGAAAGGAGGGAACGGAAGCTGTTGTCTGTGAGGCACAGCTGGGAATTCAACCACCCTTCATGTCTTGGTCTCATTGAGGCCAAAAATAAAGAATATGCTCGGACCCCACCCCTGAGTGCGGATGCTGCCCAGTGCGGCGTCCGTGTCTCACCTCCTTCACCCGCGCTCAGCCTCCCTCTCCCGCACACAACGGGGCTGCTGTTCAGGTGTGTATCCGGCATCCCCACTTCTAACACCCCAAAGAATGCCCCCCAGGCCCCGGCCCAGCTCTGTGCCGCGCGCTCTGCGCAGAGTCCGCAGAGGACCTCCGGGACCCGGGTAGTCCTCAGGGCTGCGCGGCCCGGGAGCCGGGTGGGCGGGCGCTCACCTGTGCCCAGGTAGAGGCGCTCCGGGGAGGCCCGTGAAGCCGTCGGCGGAGGGCAGCGCCGAACCGCGCAGGGCACTCGGAGGTGGGAGAGGAGAACCTGCCAAGGCTCCCAGACTGCACCCGCCAAGCCGCGGCTTCTCGGCGGCGCCCAAGTCACGGATGCGTCTAAAGAGCAGAGGGAACCGGCCACCGTCACCTCGGGATGCCCGCCCGGAGGCCGCAGACTCTTGCGGATCGAAGAGCAGGAAAAGGCACTCACCTCCACCCATCTCTGAGCTTCGGCGAACGCTCCGGAGCAGTCGGCCTCCGCCTCCTCCACCCCTTCCATGTCTAGGGCGAGAGAGAGAGGGAGGGAGGGAAGAGAGACTTAGCGAGTGCGCAGAGGGCCGGGGTGTCCCCACGCGTCTGGGCCCGGAGAGCGGCGACGGGACGCGGCCACCCGGGCTCTCGGCCCTTTGTTGCCCCCCACAGTTGGTTAGGGTTTCGAACCTACGAGAACTTGAAAGCGTTGCTATCTCTAAACTCCGGCAAGCGACTCAGTGTCAGCGGGACCCGGGTCGCAAGACGGGACGCGAGGGACGAAGGCGACGACCAGAGCCACCCCGGTTCCCCCGTGCTCCGGGCCGCGGCCGCCCCTGCGGTCAGACTGTCTGGGCCCGGGGATGCCAGCCTCCACCAGGGGGCTGGAGGTCGGGCCACGCTCCCGCGCTGCTGCCGGGGACCGCGGCTCCGCCCGGAGGGGATGCGCCCGGGTGCTCGCATCCTTCCCGCCTCCGCCCGCCTGGCCGCCTTCCCTCTGCCGGGGCCCTGGAAGTGGCTCCCTCTCGGCTGGCGGTCGCCCTGCCCGCCTGACATACCAGAAATAGCTGCACACAATTGCACCTTTCCCGGCCAAGAAACTTCCCCCGCGGGGGAGCGCAGTCGCACTGCTGGCCCGGCCTGCCGTCGCCGCTGTCGCTGCCGCCTGCGCCCTCACCTGCGACCCGACCCCGCCGAGCTCCGCTGTCCCGCTGCAAGCTGGCCCCGCCGCCAGGTGCGCGCTCGTCCCCACCTCCAAGCTCTCCTCCCTCCCGGTGCGGCCGCCTGGCCCTCCTGGCGGCAGGTGAGGGTGCTGGCCTTGGCCAGCTTAGCCCTGCTTGCGGGTGGGCAAAGTGGAATGTTCCTGCCATTGGACCCCAGCTCCCCGCAGAGGGTTAGAGCTAGCCGAGGGGAACCTTGCAATTCTCCCGCCCTTGCCTGCTCAGCCCAGTTCAGGCCATTTGACCACCTCATACTGAGCGTCAAACCCCACCTTTGGTGGTTTGGGTACCCTGAAGAGGCCGCGAATAGATTATTGGGAATCCGCAACGGTGTAGGTAGATGCGCCGGCCAGAGCGGCAAGGAGGACTGGCTGGCTTTTGTGGTTTCTTTCTTTTTTTTTTTTTTTTTTTTTGGAGAGATTTTCACTGTAGGGCGCGTGCGCTCGCCAGACAGACAGAGAGAGACATAGAGACAGCGAGAAATCACCCCCCAGAGGGGATGGTCACGCCACAATCCCTTCTCCTCCATTCTCCTCTCGGGATCTTGGGCACGCACGCACACGCGCCCGGCGTGAGTTTTAAGCCACCGGTTCGGGACACGAACCGCAGTCAACTACGTGGGAGTCCAGCGACATAGCCATTACGCTAACTGCTGGTTCCCTTATGTGGTTTCTTTTCACACCCAGGGCCAAATAGATCAGAAAGGAACCCATCCTTGTGTCCAAGGTCCCTAGGACCTTGCTCCAAGCTCCTCAAGCCCATCTGTTGATCCTACCTATGGAGGAAGGTAAAATTCGATTCTCACACCCCCCGAAAAGAAAGCAACTCTTTATTCTCATGTGTTCCGATTGGATGTTTACTTTCTGTAACGAAAAAGAGCAGAACAGAGACTGGAGACTGGTATAGCTAATATTTAAAACCTAGTATTGGTGTTTAACAATTGTTTACATTTTGCCTTATGTAGCTCATCACCTTTTTTGCTGGAGAATTTTTTGGTTTTGTTTTTTATTCGTTATAGGGCACGAGCACTTTGCTTAGAGAGAGGAAGAGAGGGAAAGTGAAAAAATGGGGGTGGGGTGGGGGGATGGCTACACTCCATCCCTTCCCCATTTTCTTCTTGGAATTTTGGGCACACAAGCAAACACCCAGAGTGTTTTTCAAGCTGCTGGGTCTGGGGCTCAAATTGCACAGTCAGCCATGCGGGATCCAGCTGTCATAACTGCTGGAGTGTTTTAATATTATGATAGTTCACCCCTAAATGCTACAATATGTATCTTATTTTAAAAAGGATGATTTCCTATATAACTATTACTATAATACTATTTTCAAATCTAACTAAAGCTAACAGTTAACTGATTCATACCCAATCCAGACTCAACTTCCTCCAACTGATTCCAAAGTGTCTTCCACCTGGGACACTCAGGCTAGGAGCCCATCAATCACAACAAAGTGCCTGAATCCATCTTTTTTCAACCTGAAAGAGTCTCTTCCTTCTGCCTCCTCCCATTTTTTGGAATGGCATTGTCTGGAAGAAAGCAGGCTGCCTTCTGGATTTGTTTTATGACTTCTTTGGGTGTCTTCCACACATTCCTCTTTTCTATTTTCTGTGCCCTGGAAATAGGATTTAAAGGCTGGATTAGAACCCATTAATCCATCTGAATAGATTTCACTACCTACATTCTTTTGGATTGAGGTGATGGTTTTTATTTGTTAAGTTTATTTTCATTCATCCTTTTCTTTTAATTGGCTCAGTCTATAGTCAATGAATGTTTAGAAGAACAGACAAACCAGAATCCATTTGGTCCTGTGGTCCCAAGTCCACAGAGTAGACGATCTCTTTGCCTCCTAGCAATACTGATCAGGCCAAACCCACAGAGAATGGAATGATGAAAGAAACTGGAAAGATTGGGAAGATATGTCTCTCCTTCTGGCTATTCAAGAAGAGTTCTGTTAAACTTTTTTAAAGAATAATTTCATGTAATTTTATTTATTATTATCATTATTTTAAAATTTGCTATAGGATACAGGCATTCACCAGAGAGAGACAGAAAGAGAGGGAAAAAAAGAGAGAAAGCCAACTGGTCCAGGACCCAAAACACAGACATCCATGTGGGAGTCCAGGCCTTAACCACCACACCACCCTGCTGGCCCTATTCCATTAAATATTAAGAGAATACCTTATACATGTAAAGTGCTAGCTATTAAAAGTGGTACAAAAATTTTGTGACCAGCAAGTGGTGTGGTGGTTAAGGTGCTGGACACATATCACGGTTCGAGTACCAGACCTGGTAGCTTGCTATCTCACTTTCTCTCTCTCTCTCTTTCTCTCTCTCTCTGTGTGTGTGTGTGTGGTCAAATTTTAAAAAATGAATGAATGAATAAATAAAATTTTAAAAACAATTATTTTATTTATATATATATATATATTATTATTATTCGTATATTAAATCACTATTCATCATTTAGATTGTGAAGTGACTTTACCCAGCATAATACACACTTCAGTCCAGCCCAGTTGAGACTATTATACACATCTTCATCAACAAATAATAAACCATATCCGTGTCCCACAAGTAATTAAATAGTTTAAATCAAACCCAAATCTCCAGTCTTTCAGTTCTATCTACCATAGATTGCGGACAGTTGGTGTATATTAAGTGGAGACATTCAATGTCTCTCTTTCATAGCCTGACTTGCTTCACTCAGCAACAAATCTTCCATATTTGTCCACTTTCTATCAAATTCCAGGGCCTTGTTGTTTTTTTATGGCTGAATAGTAGTCCATGGAATATATGTGCCACAATTTTTCAATCCATTCATCTGTGGACATTTGGGTTGGTTCCATGGTGAATAATGCTGCCATAAATATAGATGTGCAAGTGCTTTTCCAACTGAGTACTCTTCTGTCCTTTGGGTAGATACCCAGGAGTGGAATTGCTAGATCATATGGTAGTTCTATTTGAAGGTCTTGGAGGAACCTCCATATCGTTCTCCACAGTGGCTGGACCAGTTTACATTCCCAGCAGCAGTGTAGGAGTGTTCCCCTTTCACCACATCCCCTCCAGCACTTATCATTATTTATATTTTAATCTTCCTCATTCTGACTGGGGTTAGGTAGTATCTCATTGTGGTTTCGATCTGCATCTCCCTTACAATGAGGAATGTTGAGCATTTTTTCTTATGCTTTTTGGCTATTTGTATTTCTTCCTTAGAGAGCTGTTTATTCAGCTCCTTTTCCCATCTTTTAATTGGGTTAATCATTTCCTTCCAGGTAAGCTGCTTGAGTTCCCTGTGTATTCTGGTTATAAGTCCTTTATCTGAAGCACAGTTAACAGTAATTCTCATTCTGAGGGTTGTCGATTCACACTAATTACAGTGTCCTTTGCTGTGCAGAAACTCCTGTCTATTTGGGGGGGGTTAATTTTAATCTTCATCAAAGCCTGTGCTTTGGGGGTCTTGCTTACGAAGTCTTTGCCTACCCCAGTGTCTTCCAGAGTTTCCCCAGTGTTTTCCACCAGTAGTTTTATAGTTTGTGGTCCAAGGTTTAGATCTTTGATCCAATTTGAGTTGATTTTTATTAATAGTGACAGGGGTTCAGATTCATCTTTCTGCAGGTGGATACCCAGTTTTTCCAACACCATTAAATACATAATTCTTTTAAAAAAATGATACAAAAATTTTAAAAACTTGGCTGCATAATCTTATGCAGCCCCGTCCATTAGGAGGAGACATTATGTAAGCTTCAGGCGCTTGCTGTTACTGTGGTTAATGTATGCATACATTATACTGTTAAAAGCAGCTGCTATGTAACCTGAGGTATCTGTTGCTTTGGGACCAGCAGCCCAAAATGTTAAGAAGTCCACAAGCTTGGAAACCTGAATGACTTAAGTTACCAAGTCATCAGAATCTCCAAGCTTCAATTTTCTCATCTGAAAAATGTGGTGATAGTAACTACTTCAAATGATTGTTGTGAGAATTAAATATGATAATGAATATAAAAGCCCCCATCTTGTTTAGCATAAAATAGTCACTCAGTAAATGATAGTTTTTTTTTTTTTCTCTTTGGTCTTTCTAAGAGTGGTGTGTCAAAATTTTTCCTAATAAGTCAGCTTTCTGTGTATTTGTTCAAATACTTATATGGAAAAGGCTGTAGGGTGTTGCAGATTCTGTTTCAAGTGAGCTCAGGCACCAGCCTTAGCTCAGTCTCTTTAATGTTCCAAGTTTGCAGCTTAGAAGACCCAAATATAATTCTTTACCTACTAATGTCAGTTATAAGAATGTTTTATCCTTCTAGGAAGATTTTTACAGTGCTACAGAGAGAGGCACCTGTCCAAGGAGTTTAGAATGAAATGCACAACATCTAAACATCAGAACTTTTTCATTTCTTTCCCAAAAGAATTGAGGTACTTTTTGTTATTTAAATAACAACATTACACACTACAGGGACCAGCAGTTAGCGTAATGGCTATGTCAATGACTTCCATGTAGTCATCTGTGGTTTGAGTCTCAGACCCGGTGGCTTAAACTCACACCGGGCATGTGTGCGTGCGTGCCCAAGATCCCGAGAGGAGAATG